CAGGGATGCTAGCCCCTGATCTGTCTGCTGGATCACAGGATGCTGCTCCTGCTCCCCGGCTCCTACTTGCCAGCAGCCTGAGGTACAGTTTCCTAGAAACCCCTGCACTGATCTCCTTGAAACTTGCATGCCCTCAGAAGGGGCTACCCTACCTGCAAGTTTCATTAGACTCAGGCAAGCAGTGAGAAAGTCATAGGCTATTTTGTGCTTTCCCATTATAGCCTATGGGTGAAACCTTGAAACAGTGTCGAAATAGCAAAACCGTTCTGATGAAACAGAAGGGAACAGTGATTTCGAAACAAAAACAAAACTCAAGACAAAACATTGTTCTGTCAAAACGTCAAAACGGAAGTTGAAGTGGAACGCTGCTGTTTTGCCCAGCCCTACTTGACAGCTCTCCACATACTGCAGGGCCTGAGTTGATTTAGCAAGTGCCAAGGCAGGCCCAAGGGCTGGGAAATGAGACCTGGAGCCAGGGGGAGCCTGTGGCAGGCAGGATCCGTATGTTCCGCACAGCGCTGTGACCAGATGTGGGAAAGGCCCGTGGGTGAGAAGTCACTTCCCCGGTGCTCCCTCGGGGGGTCCCACTCTTGCAGGAATCTCACACTGTGTTTGGGATGCAGCTCCCCCGGGCTCCATGCCTGCTTCCAGCCAAGTGCCCAATGCCACGCACAGCTACAACCTCCATTCACGCTCTGCTCCACCCGCTTCCTCCTCCCCCACCCCCAGCCCCTTCCCCAGTGGCCATGGCCTTTTCATCTGGGGAGAGGGAGGCTGTGGGTGGGAGCCAAGCACAGCTAAAGACATGAGGCTTCAGAGCTGAGCTAGCATCTCTGCAGGACAAAGATCAGGTCTGTGAGCCCAAAGAGCAGAGCTAGGCTGTGGCAGGGCACACGGCTTTGCAGACAGACGGGCCACTCACTCCTGCATCCACTTCCCTTCTGCAGACCTTTCTAACACATGCTCTTTTGCTCTCTGCATATTTTTATATGCAAGTTTGTATCCTCCCTTCCCTTTCTCTCTCCCTCCATATTCTCCTCTCCACCCAGTTCTCTCTATTCCCATTTTTGTCCTCCCACTTCTCATTTTCTCTCCCGTAACCAAGTTGTTACCCAGCTCTTTCTTTCCTACTGTATCCTTCTACATTTCTCTGTCCCCATTAGATCCTTTTCTGCATCCTTTTTTTTTCTACACATCAGGTTTCTTTCTCTCTCCAACTCTTTTTGTTCCCATCTACCCACCTTTTTAGTTCTCCCTTTCTTTATCTTTCAATTGATCTGTATTTTTCTCTCACTCTGTTGTTTGTCTTTTTATTATTTCATCACCCTCCCTCTCTCCTTTCATAAATATCCACTCACCTCTATTTTTCTCCTCCATATTCCCTGACTGGCAGCGATACAGCCACTGTCTCCTTACAGCTGAGGTTGTCTCTCCCCATCTTTCTTCATCTTTCCCTCTCTCATGCACACTTTGTTTCAGGCACAGCTGGAATTTCTAATTTTCCCATCAACAATGTCAGTGGGCTCTGAGGAGGCTGATCCAGCAGAGACAGACTTAGGACTCCCCTGCCTGGCAGCAGTGCACTGAAACAAAGGTCTGCATTGTCTCCAGGTCCCTTACTCAAAATCAAGTCTTGGTACCAGGACTGGGGGACCTCACACCAGGGTGATGCTGGCTCTGAGGGACTGTGGAATCTGCCCACAAATATAGATCTATTGGGCAGTGGCTAGGAAGGAGAGATTGGGGCAATGACAACCAGCACAAAATGGAGGTGAGTCCTAGCAACAGAGGGAAGGGCTTGACATGGCTTTTGGGGTGAGGGGAGGGAAGAGCAGAATGACTGGAAGGAAAGACTGACTGACTCCCTTGCACTAATATTGTGATAATGGGAGTGACTGCATGACTGTATAACTGACTGATAGACTAAGTAGGAGCTATATGGCAGGATCTGGTCCACGAAATGACTGGTGCCTTCCGAGACTGGGGTGGAGGGGGGCACCACTTGTAGGTGGCAGCATTGGTGGTAAGTGGCAACTGTCCACAGACACCATCGGCAGTGGCAGTGTCAGGGGGGAGGCGGCGAGTGGCAACTGCCTGCGGAAGCCAACGGTGGTGTTGGCGGCAGCCAATCTCAGGGGGGTGTCGGGGGGGGGCGTCCCCCCCCCCCCCCCCCAATACTTCCCCTATGAGTCACCTATGATCTGGACAGTATAATCACTGAAGCCCCCTGAAAAGCCCAGCACAGATTGTGTTGTTACTGCAGAAGGTCACAGATAGTCCCAAATGTGTACTTGGATCTCGTGGCACCGCTGGTCTGGCTGTGCAGAACCTCAGATGATTCTGGGTGGGTGCAGGATTTCCCGCACAGCATCTAGTTGGCAGATCTGGGCATGGAATATTTTCCAGGCTCCTTCTCTGTTCTTTGATCCAATTGTACTCTGTTCTTCATGGTCTGTCTCTAGGACAGACAGTTGTGGGGTTACACTGAATCTGTACCATGACAAGATTCAGAGGCTCAAGTGAATGAAGCTCTGTAGCTCATTATTGCAGGGTCTATGCATGCACACAGTGAGAGATGGTCTCTGTTTGAGCTGAGATTAGGATCCTTCTGTGCCAAGCACTACATAGACACATAAGGAAAGGAAGATCCTGCCCCAGCAGCGATTCAGGCCCTGTTTGCTGAGCTCTGCACAAACACCAAGGGTGAAAAAGTGCTTAATTCAGTTGAGACAAGGTCACATTTAGCCAGGTGCTTTACAGACAGGTCTGGAGAGAGAAAGAAACTTAACAATCTAGGTACCCCGATTTAACTAGGTAAGAAGCACAATGGAGAGGGAAAAGGGTTATTATTCTATATTTAAACAAGGAGAATAGGTATATACTCAGAGGGTGCGTCTACAAGAAATGCTTACTACACAGTAACCTAATAACACTGCGCGGGTGTGTTCAGGGCAAAAGCCCTGCTAATACGCTACTGTACAGACTTATCAGGCTGCTGCACAGTAAGCAGCAATACAAAACTGCCAGTGCTACTGTGCAGTTGTGTGAGTTACTGAGCATTGAATTAGTACTTGGCTAACCAAGTACTAAACTTAATGCACAGTAACTAGAGCGCATTAATGAATGTGTAGACAAGCCCACAGACGTGAAGGGACTTGCCAGAGACCCCATAGTGAGCTTACAGCAGGAAGAGGAACAGAATTCAAGTTTCTTCATTCCTTATGCTACTTTCAGCCACAAAACCACGCTCCCACACCCCTGGTTTCCAGCCTTCTCAATCACTCAGTGTCTCTTTCATGCCTCTCACAAGGCCATCACTTCAACTGAGAAAATGCATCCAGGCAGCAGTGGCCAAAGCCACTCTTGCTTTCTGGCTTGGAAGAGCTGTATGAGAGTAAGGATTTTCTTGGCACCGCTCCACTCTCTCCCCTGCATACCCTCACTTCTTAGAAAGATTTACAAATAATCCAGGGCATTCATTAATTAACACCTATCAAAGATGCTGATGGGGAAATCCTGAATTTCAGATGTTCTCCCATTCTTGTCTTAATTTTTCTTGCTTAATGCCAAATTCAAAAGAACAGAGAAATCGTGCAGTAGGTGGAGAAAAATCATTTAATCTTTCTGCCTACCTGGGTTCTCACTTCGATTTCTCCTCTCCTCCTCTGCTCCCTTCCTGCGTGTATTTCAAGTGTCTGCTTGGGACTGTAAAACCCTCAGGAGGTCCCTATGCTGTCTTCTAGGAGTTTAGTATATCTGTGAGACTCTTTGTCTCATTTGCTAGTTTGGTATGGTTATGATGTTATAGAAGAGATCAGGGGAAAGAGGAATGAGGCAGCATGTGAAGATGGAGAAAAATTAAAATCTGGAACTGAGCAGAATGGACTGAGCAAGAATGTAACGAGTGCTAGATCTGGGCACAGTGATAGCCGCTGACCCTCAAAGGAAATGTTGGGGTCTGAGGGTTATGTTTAGACAGCCCCTGTTCTCAGCAGAATGAGACTTCCAACGGTGCAAAGACAAAAGCAAACTTTATTTAAATTTTCAAAATATGAATACTGCTAGCAAATAAAGAATAGCATTATATATCCAGATATAGAGGAGTTCATGTTTAGGGTAAAGATCTAAACGGATGCTTTAGAAATAGAAAGATGTAGGTGGATGCTGCTTTTACCAATGCAATAGTATATATGCAAACTATGCTGCAGGTTCATTGACCTGCACCCTCCTTGCTATGCTCATCTGATCAACCCTGGCAGGGCCACAGCAGTTTACTCTCTACTCCCTTAATAACAGTACATCCCCAGGCAGCCTGGCCAGAGAGGTGATGCACTTTCACAGAGAAATGGAATATACTTCAAGTGCTAGGTTGATTTTTACTAGCTTTTGCAGATTTTCATTTCTCAATACATAACAGCTGCAGTTGTATTCTTCCTGTTTGACCTCTATAATTTCTAAGGTCCTCATACCCAGTTCAGGTGGACACTGCTTTTACCAATGCAATTCTATAGATGCAAACTAAGCTGCAGGTTCTTTGACCTGCACAGTCCTTGCTTTGCTCATTTGATCAACCCTGGTAGGGCCACAGCAGTTTACACTATATTCTCATCTCTCAGAAGGTCCCTTAATAACACTACTTCCCCAGGAAGCCTAGCCAGTGAGGTGATGCACTTTCACACAGAAATGGAATACACTTCAAGTGCTAGGTTCAGTTGCATTAGCTTTTGCAGCTCTTTACTTCTCATACATACCAGCTGCAGCTCCATTCTCCCTGTTTGACCTCTATGATTTCTAAGGTCCTCAAAGCCAATACCCACATGTGCTGGGGTACAACTGTAACCAAGGATTGTGGCTAATGAATCACCTCAGTCCATTTTAAATCCAGTTTCCAAGAGTCTAACTGGCGTCTGAAAAATTAGCATCCTCCACAAGAAACCTTTGCCAATACAGTAACACGATATAAGGCTGTGATTCTTTTTTTGTGTCTGCTTTATGTCTAGGATAGGAAAATCCAGACTGTTCTACTAGAATGAAAGAACATCTTCTCCTGTAGATCGCTGGCTCATCTGGACCTGGGGTAGCGTAAATGATAAGGCGCATGGTTGGCAGTCCAGAGGTTACAAACACTGAGGCCAAAGCAGAAGCACTCACTGTGCGGCCCTGTAAGACTCCAACAAATCCGTGAATTCTGCTGGTATCTTGTCACAAGGACATGAAAAAGGTAAGGACTGGATCACCTAACAGGCATATTCTGTGTTACTGGGAGCTGGTTCTTTGAGTAAAAAGACTCTCAGCTAAGTGGTGTCTAGTAGGCCTGTGCAAATAAGGAAGTATTTGTTTCCGATTCGGCCAATTTGGAGGACAGTGATTCAATTTGGAGATTTGGATCACTGTCCTGAATTCATTCAGCCGAAACAGCTTCCAAATATTCAGCACTGATTCAGATAGATTTGGTGATTCGGATCAGCTGGGGAGAGGCAGGTGCAGCCAGGCGGCTGCAGGTTCTCCTGCGGCTCCTCCGGCTCTGCCTGCCTCTCCCCAGGCAGGGGAAGCCATGACACCAGTCCCCATGGCTGCCCTACCCAGCCCTATCCCCCACCCAGCTCCAGACTAGTCCTGGCACTTAAAAAAAAAAAAAAGCCCTGTACTCACCGGTTGCAGAAGCGGCGATTGGGGCCTCTGGGTGCTCGTGGCAAATCCCCCCCATGCAGCACAGGGCAGTGGGGGGCAGTGGGTATTACCCCCCCCTCGGTTGGCACCCATGCAGCAGCTGCCCCATGGCGTGGGTACCTTGTATGGCTTGGCAGGGCACTGCTCAGTGCCTGGGAGCTGGGGCTGCTGGGGCTAAGTGCTGTCAGGCTCCAGGTGACTGCTGGAGCTGCTCCAGCTCCCAGACAGTGTGCAGCGTGCTGCTGAGCTGGGCTGAACCCATGTGATGCAACAGCTGCCACGTGGATGCCAGGTGGGGGGGTGGGGAGGGCGATCCCCACTGCCTCCCCACTGCCCTGCGCTGTGCAGGAGAGTTCTGCCATGAGTGCCAAGAGGCCCCAATCACTGCTGCTGCAGTCGGTGAGTGAGGAGCTTGAAAAAATAAAAAAATAAAATCCCCGCACTCACCAGCTGCAGGAGTGGCAATGGGTCCAGTGGGCGCTTGTGGCAGAGGCCTCCCACACTGCAGGGGCAGTGGGAGGCAGTTGGGGGGCAGTGGGGATCGCCCCCTCCCACCTGGCACCCACACGGCAGCTGTCACATCGTGCAGGTGCAGCGCGACTCAGCAGAGTGCTGTGCACTATCTGGAAGCTGGGGCTCCTGGGGCTGAGTGGTGCTGGGCTCCAGCTGACATGTGGAGCAGCCCCAGCTCCCTGACAGCGCACAGTGCCCTGCCGAGCTGTACTATACCCGCACCATGGAGCAGCTGCTACACAGGTGCCAAGCAGGGGGGGAGATCCCCGCTGCCCCTCACTGTCCCGAGCTGCATGCTCTGTCATAATCACCCAGAGGCCCCAGTCACTGCTCCTGCAGTGAGTGTGGGGATTTTTTTTTTTTTAAGTGCCAGGAGTAGGCTGGGGCTGGGCTGGGGATGGAGCCAGGCTTGGCAGCCCTGGAAGCCTCTCCCACAGCTGCCCTGGTTGTGCCTGTCTCTGCCCCAGCGAGGGGAACTGCGGGACCTATGCTCTGCTGCCACTTGCCCAGCCAGCATGGCGGGGGGCGGGGGAGGGATTGATTTAGGGGTGGCAGCACTGGAAGTGGGGGCTATGCCATGCTGACTTGCCCCCTTCTGCCTGGAGCAAGCCGTGCCCGCATCCTGCTCCCTCCCCCACCCCACCTGGGCAAGCTGTCTCTGCCCCAGCGAGGGGAACTGCGGGACCTATGCTCTGCTGCCACTTGCCCAGCCAGCATGGCGGGGGGCGGGGGAGGGATTGATTTAGGGGTGGCAGCACTGGAAGTGGGGGCTATGCCATGCTGACTTGCCCCCTTCTGCCTGGAGCAAGCCGTGCCCGCATCCTGCTCCCTCCCCCACCCCACCTGGGCAAGCTGCAGCAGGGCAGAGCCCCTGCTCCCAGTGCTGTTGTGCCCACATCCCGCACCCCCCAGCCCCCATGCCCCTTCTCTCCCCCAACCCCAAAAGACGTATCACCTGGAGGCAGCTGTCAGCTGCCTGATTAGTCTATGGTCGAATCTCTGAATCATCCGAATCTTTCCAGATCTTTTCCCAAATTGATTCGGATGCTTTGAATCAATTCAGAGCTTTTACTTGGTCTCCCAATTTGATTTGGATTCAGAGGTTCAGTACCTAAATCGGGCCAAATCTCCTCTAAATCGGATCAGCTACCGAAGCTTCACACAGCCCTAGGGTCCAGGTACTAATCTACCAACAAGCATGTCTAACACCCAGGCTGTCCAGTTCCTTAAGTGGTTGGGGCTGGGTGCCTCCCAACCCAACCGTAGAACCTTGGACTGTTCTTCTGTACCCAGGACAGGGGCAGGAAGCAGAAGCCACAGTTCCTAGAGGTAGCATGAAGGCACCGACTGCTACTGCATCCAGAGCAGTTGGGAAAGTTGCTAGGGCCTGAGGGCTCAGGGACTGCAAACTAACTCCTTCTAGGCTACATGCAGCCCATGAGCCAAAAGTTGGACATCCCGTTGTAGACATTCTCACAACTTCTCTAGCACCTGCCACCAGTTTCTACCTACCAATGATCACAAACCCACTGTGCCAGCTGTTTCCAGATTCACTCACAGGGAAGTAGCTACTCTCTGATCACCAAGTTGCACAGCCCTCCAGGATTCATGCACACCAGACACTGCCAGTCGCACTCCAATACCTATTATCACTAACCTCCTACCTGCCTAAAGGGTCTTTGTCACCCTTCCTATTTCTGTATCTACAGGTGATGCATAGCAATGCAGCATGGGAGAATCAGCATGAGCTAAACCAGAGTACTACTGAGGAATTCATCCTGCTGGGAGTGTCTGATCAACCACAGTTGGAGCTAGTGCTGTTTGTGCTCATTTTAATCAGCTACGTTATGACACTGCTTGGGAATGTCACCATCATTGTTGTCTCCTGGCTGGCCCCCCGTCTCCACACACCCATGTACTTCTTCCTCAGCAACCTCTCCTTCCTCGACATCTGCTACACCAGCAGCCTTGGCCCCCCGATGCTGGTGAACTTCCTCAGTACGCGCAAGGCCATCTCCTGGGGTGGCTGTGTGGCCCAGCTCTACATCTCCCTTGCCCTGGGTTCCACAGAGTGCCTCCTGCTGGCAGTCATGGCCCTAGATCGCTACGCTGCTATCTGCCGGCCCCTGCGCTACGTGACAATTATGAGCCATCGCCTCTGCCTCCTCATGGCTGCTGGTTCCTGGCTCAGTGGCCACAGCACTTCACTGGCACAGACAGTGCTAACTATGCAGCTGCCACGGTGTGGCCAGAACCATATTGATCACATCTTCTGTGAGGTGCCCGCACTGCTCAAGTTGGCCTGCACTGACACTTCTTTCAATGAAGTTGAGCTGTTTTCTGTAAGTGTGGTGTTCCTGGTGGTGCCCATGAGCCTCATTCTGATCTCCTATGGCTACATTGGTGCTGCCTTGATGAGGATCTGCTCATCTGAGGGCAGGCGCAAGGCCTTCAGCACCTGCACCTCCCACCTGGCTGTGGTGTCTCTCTTCTATGGCCCAGCCATCTACATGTACCTGCAGCCTCCCTCCAAGGATCAGGGCAAGATTGCCTCCCTGTTCTACACAATGGTCACCCCAATGCTGAACCCCCTAATCTACACACTGAGGAACACGGAGGTACATGGGGCCCTGAGGAGACTGCTTCGGAAAAAGCCAGGCCTTATAGTTTGGAGTTAGTCAATCAACCTGGGGCCCTGTGTTCCCCATGCCTCCTGGAGCATTTCCCTTCATTCTACTTCTAGCCCCAAAGTATCCCATTTCTTTTTACTCTCTTCAGTCCTTCAGGTCTCTTCTGCCTCCCGCGACTGATAATATGAAATCAGAAAATTAGCCAAAGGCTTGATTTTCATCTAAAAATAAAGGTTCTTTGCCCAGGATAATAAGACATTGTGACCCAGAGCGTGTTCTTGTGATGTGACTCTGGCAGGCTGCAAAGAGCGCATGCCAATTTAAGGGGAGATGCTGCTGGAGTAGCAGCCTGCAGGTGGGTCCACAGCTAATTATGGGGTCATCTGACCCATGGAGTCTGCAGGGGGTGGCTAGGGCTGATGGGAAAGATTGATCTGACCCAGGAGGAGAGCTAGGCTTATGGGGATATAAGCCTGCGCCCTGAGCAAGGCTGCATGTCCAGAAGGTCAGCATTTGAGGCAACATTTGAGGCAGTCTGGAGGTTTGGGAGGGAACTAAAGGGGTGGAAGAGGTTCCTAGGGGCTCAGGAAGGGGTCTGGGTGGGACCTATTGTGGGTCGAGGTGAGACTAGAAAGAGGGACCAAGTGTACGGGACCTATTTTGGGGTCTGGGTGAGCCCAGAGAGATGGGCATGTGGCGGGGGGGGAGGGGCACACACACACACACATTCATACCCCTCAGGTGTGTTGGGGTGCATTGGACATGCATGCACGCACAGAACTCAGGCCTGATGAGGTGTCCAGGAAGAGAGAGAGGCCAAGTGTGAAGGACGTGATGAGGTTGGGCAGGGTCCAAAGGGGAAAGTGAGAACAGAGCCCTGAGGCTGAGAGTGGACCCAGCAAGGAGAACAGGACCTGAGGCTGAAAGCAAGTCCACAGAGAGAGCTGGAGCTTAGAGAAAGTGGAACCAGAAGTGGGACCACAAGGGTCCAGAGGCAGCAGGAAGATAGTGGAATCAGAGGTGTCCAGAGGCCCAGGAAGG